TATATATATGTATATATATGTATATATTTGTTAAAAAATTTAGGACAAAGAAAATAAAAAATCGACATAAATTCAAACGAAAACATAGAGATTTACTCTCCGCTCAACCCAAGTAACTTAAGAGACTCCCATATTTTTTACTTCCTCAAAAACTTATATTTAGAGGTGATATGTTATAATTATATTTGTGTTGGAATTAATGAACTTTGTATTTTTAGCAATTATCCTTTTAAATTATATTTAATATTTATATAGTTTTTTTTTAGAATATAAAGATGTTTCTGAATTAAGGATTATCCAAGAAATTTTCTAGATATGACCATGCTATCGTGGACGATGGTCTCGACATGTCCATGCTATAGTAAATCGTATGATGGTCCATCCAAATTATCGTTAAATGCGTGACGACCGAACGTAATAATTTATCATGATTTCGAGATGTAAAATTAAACCCTCACTCACCATCTAAAAACGCACGGATTCAAAATGCTTGCTACTAAAAAGTTCTCGTCCCTATTTATACCGTTGCCGAGCCCCGAGCCCCCAGCAAACGGCCTCTCTCGCTCTTCACTTCTCTCTCTCTCTCTTTCTCTCTCTGCGAGAGCCTCTGCAGAAATCTTTTCCTAAAAAGAGCACTTGATTTTAGTGACGGCCTTACAAGCAAAGATCATGGTGACGACAGCAGAGAGAAGAGAGAACGTGGAATACCGCCATCATTTCTTCTAATTATACGCCGTCGAGATCGTAGCAAATAAACGCTCAGGACCAGTTTTAACCACCCAAATCGCGTCAAGATCCCTCCTTTCTCTAGTTCTAACAAGTTTTAAACATGAAGAGATCAAGGAGCTCAGACTCCGTGCCCGGAGGTATATGATAAGCTGAGTTCCGATTCCTCTGTTCCGCTCTGTTCCATAAATCCACCTTTCCTCTAAAGGTTTTTGAGTTGAGTTGTCTGTTTCAGGTGACTTGTACGCCGCAAAGCTGCCCACCATTCCGGATGGGGTGGAGAAAGACGAAGAAGAAGAAGAAGAGGAGCTTTTCTCGGGCGATCTTCCCTCTGCTGCCGGCGAAAAAAAGCGTCGTCTGAGCTTAGAGCAGGTAAGAGCTTTAGAAAAAAACTTTGAGCTGGAGAACAAGTTGGATCCAGAGAGAAAGGTCCGGATTGCACTTGAGCTCGGCCTGCAGCCCCGACAAGTCGCGGTTTGGTTCCAGAACCGCCGCGCTCGGTGGAAGACTAAGCAGCTCGAACGCGACTACGCTGCTCTTCGGAACAGCTTCGACGCTCTCGCTATCGACTGCGATTCTCTCCGCCGCGATAAGGAAATCCTCCTCGCTGAGGTTTGATAGTGCTCAAACCCCTTTCAAAATTCAATTTTGATCACAACTCGAAGATCAAATTTTCATCTTGTTGCAGATCAAAGAGTTCAAGACAAAGCTGGGGTTGTCGGAGGAGGAATCTGAGAGTAAGATGGTGAAGGCCGAGGATCCTCCTCCGCCGGCTGTGTACAAGGATGGTTCGTCAGATAGCGACTCTAGTGCCGTGATTTACGATGAAAACAGCTCTTATCAGTCTGGAATGCAGCTGCCGCCGGAGCTCCGTTGCAGGCCAAACGAACCAGAGGAGCCGCAGCGTTTGATGTTGAGCAGCGGTTTTGATTTCCACATGAACTCCGAATGGAGAGTTCAAAGAAGCTTCTTTCCAAAGGAAGAGCATAACTTTCTAGCAGGAGAAGAGCATTCCAATGATTTCTTTCAAGATGAGCAAAATCCGGTTTTTACCTGGTATTGCTCTGATCACTGGAGCTGAAAAGCCTGGAGTTGGAAATTGGCCGCTTAGTTAAGGATAAAAGACCTTCATAATCCTTCGCCGTTTATATTTAAACACTATTTATGTGTCGATTTAAGGGGAAAATGGGAGAAAATTGTACAAAGTATTGTTTATGAGTAAGAAGATCAGAGAGCTGAGAGATGAACTGAATAGCACAGCTGAAGGGTGATTGGAGAAGAGATTGAAGTCTGAGCTCGACAACTTAATCCGAGCTTTCTTCGAGGTCTGGAGAAGACAAGAGAATTTCAATTTCAATGTAAGAAAAAGATTGAAACTCAGACGTTATTCTGATCTAATAATCTAAAATTTATCTCAAATAATTATGAACTGCTTGACGGCAATTTAGTGTGGGTTCTCTGAATTTTAAGGCCGGTAAAATGGTTATTTCTTTTAATCCTATAGACAATTAATCTCTTCACGAACTCATAAGCAGAATCCAGTTGGCTCATGGGGGAACGAGCCTCCAGATTTATTCTTATTTATCACGTTACTTTTATTTTTGGAAATTTACAAACATATCACAATATTATCACGTATATGGACATCTAACACCTAAAATCTAATATTTCTATTAATATCATTTTGGCGTAATAAACCAATATATTAAATATTTTACTTCACATTATGAAATTAATAATAGTTATTTTTTTATTTAATATTAAAATTTTGAGTGTTATGCATGCAAATATAAAAATTAAAGTGTTAAATATAATAATAGCTAGATAAGAATTGTGTGGTATGTATGTAAATGCTACTAAGTTTTTTGGGGGCATTTACATTCATAACATACAAGTCTTATGTGTCCATATATAACATCAAGACTTTCATATCCACATCATAACACTCAAATTTAGTATCTGCTTTTTAAAAGCGAAAGCGAAATACTCCTTTACATGAGTAGTTTAATTTAACAAAAATGCTATGAGTATTAATATCAAATTTTAGATATTAGATATGTAAATAAATCTGAACTGCAACATATGTATGTAGATTTTTCTAATTTTTTTAATAATTAACTTATTTTGTTCTTGAAAACATGATACAAATAGATTTGGTTTACCGATCGAAAGGCTGAAAGAATCAAGGCAAAATTAAATCGAAGAAAATTCAATGATGTTAACTCAATTCTAATATTGTTAGTTGTATTAAATTTATTTTGCGTGTTGTAAAATAATTGTCATATAAATTTTTTTTTTTCATATTTGGCACAAAAGTTTGATTTTGTTCTTCAATATGCGACATTGTGTGTATCTCGGTCTAAACAAGTTGGCTTTATCATTGAATACGGCATATAACCAAAAGAACTTCTGTAGGAGAATAGACCACACTTCTTTAACGAATGCAAGGATATCTGTTAGAGAGCGCATATAGCATCTCATCACATGCTCCAATTAATTGAACTTCAAGCTCTTTTGGTACTTGTTGTGGGTATATGTTTGCATGCAACTTGAATATAATATAAACTAAAATGAAGAATAAGCCAAAGCATGAAGGAAGAGAGATGGAAAAATTTTTGATATTATATATGGGAAGAGAGTCAAAGAAACCTACATTTCTTAGGGATGCAAAAAAATAACATGAGACGTAATTTGATCGAACCTTGAAAAGATATGAGAGGACTTAATTTTATTGATGAAAAGAGAGGTGTAAATACCCATTACAAGACTTACTAGTAAGGAAAACAATAAAAACAGAATACAGTAGAAAATGAAAGGAATAATAACAAAATATAATATGCAGCTAATCTCTTTAATTTAAAGAGAGAAATAAATAGAGATTCTTAAGATCCCTCAAATAATTTATAACCCTATAAATATAGAGTTATAACAAATATGGAATATAATAATTAGTATTTTCGAGATCTTTCAACACTAGCCCTCAAGTTGGGTTGTACAGATTATACATGCCTAACTTGTTACCTAATTCTTCAAAGTTGATTCTTGGGAGAGGCTTAGTGAGGATATCTGTCGTTTGATGTCGGGAAGGAATGTATGCAAGTTCGACGACTCTCTCAATGTTTTCTGAGATGAAGTGTTGATCGATCTCGATGTGTTTCGTTCTGTTATGGTGTACTGGATTCTTTGCAATGTTGATGGTTGTCTGGTTGTTGCATTGTAGTTTGACAGTTTTTTTCCGTTAGCATTCTGAGTTCGCTGAGTATTCTTTGAATCCATATTCCTTCACAAATCCAAACTGCAAGAGCTATGAATTCAGCTTCAGCACTGCTTCTTGATACCACATATTGCTTTTTGCTTCTCCAAGTGACTAGGTTTCCCCAGACATAAGTGTAATAGCCGAAAGTAGATCGTCGGTACGAGACATCCCCTGCCTAGTCTGCGTCTGAATACACTTCTATACTTCAATCTTTATTCCTTTGAAATAGTAGCCCTTTGCCTGGAGTCATCTTGAGGTATCTCAAGATTCTGTAGACTACATTCATGTGTTCTTTTGTAGGGTTGTTCATGAATTGGCTAACAACACTACCAGAAAAATCAATGTCGGGTCGTGTGTGTGAGAAATAGATGAGTCGCCCCACGAGTCACTGATATCTCTCCCTATCCACCAGTGCACTATTTTTCTCAGTGTCGATCTTCTTGTAGGGATCCATTGGAGTATTGACTGGTTTGCAACCGAGCATGCATGTTTCCTTCAACATGTCCAATGTATATTTCTGTTATGACACAAATATTTCTCATTTTGATCGAGCTAGTTCCATGCTGAGAAAGAACTTTGGGTTTCCGATGTCTTTGATTTTGAATTCCCGAGTGAGAAGCTTTATCAGATTTGTGAGTTATTCTTCGTGATTTCTAGTGAGGATGATATCATCAACGTATACAATTAGAATTGAAATCTTCTTTTCATGAGAGGTTTTCACGAAAAGAGTGTGATCTACCTGACACTGAGTATACCCGTGTTTTGTCAATGATTTTACAAATCTATCAAACCATGCTCGTGGAGATTGTTTGAGGCCGTACAATGATTTTTGGAGTTTGCAGATTTTGTTGCTTGGAAAAGATGCTTCTAGTCCAGATGCTTCTAGTCCGGGAGCTAGTCCGGGAGGTACTTCAATGTAAACTTTTTCTTTCAAATTGTCATTTAGGAAAGCATTTTTCATGTCGAGTTGATGTAGCTGCCAGTCTTCATTTGCCGCAAGTGAGAGAAGGATTCTGATGTTGTTAAGTTTGGCCACGGGGGCAAAGGTTTCTTGGTAATCAATACCGTAGGACTGTGAAAAACCTTTTGCTACGAGACGTGCTTTTAATCTCTCAATTGTACCATCGGCCTTATATTTTATTTTGAAGATCCATTTGCAGCTGATTGCTTTCTTTCTCTTTGGCAGGTCTGAAACAGTCCATGTACCATTCTTTTGTAGGGCTCTTACCTCCTCATTGATGGTCGCTTTCCACCCCGGGTGTTTGAGAGCTTCATCAATCATGTTTGGTACTTGTGAATTGTCGAATACACTGACATAAGCTCGGTAAGTTGAAGATAGTCTTTCATAGGACATAAAGTTGGAGATTGGATGCATCGTGTGTTTGTACCTGAGTTGAGGACGGATGGACCTAACACCTTTCCTTAAAGCAATTGGAATGTCAGAGTAATTAATCATAGGTATAGTAGATTCATGCTCAAGTGTCTTTCGTACCTTAGTGGATTTCTATAGGAGTTGGATTCGGTTCGGACTCTTGGATTTGTGCTGGATGTGTTGGGTGATCTATGTGCGAGTTGAACACTTGAGGACTAGACGGGGACTGATTGTTAGGTACATTTTCACGTGAGTTGGATGAACTTGTTGAATTAGAGTCGGGAGATAATGAGTTTGGTTCAAGGGACAAGGATTTGATGTGTGGTGGTGTGAACTTGTTGTCCCCCCAAGACTGATATTCCCTTAAAGTCTCCCTTAAAACTGATATTCCCTTAAAGTCTCCCCCTGAATATTAGAATTGGGGTAGTAAGGTTGATTTTCAAGGAATGCGACATTCATAGTGTTGTAGGTTTTTCTTGTGAGAGGAGAGTATCACTTATACCCTTTTTGAAGAGGCGAGTAGCTGAGGAAAATACATTTAGTAAATTTGGGGTCAAGTTTGCTGTGATTGTGTGAATGAATGTGAACAAAGGAGGAGCAACCAAATATTTTGGTAGGTAGATTTTGGGTAATTTCCTTGGTGTGGGGAAATGATTTGAGAAGGAGTTGGACTGGACTTTGAAATTTGAGGACCCTAGAAGGCATCTTGTTGATGAGGTAGGCTGCCGTGGATACAAAGTCACCCCAAAAAACCTTAGGCACGTTAGAGAAAAACATGAGGCAGCGGGCCACCTAGAGAAGGTGGCGGTTCTTGTGTTCGATGATCCCATTTTGTTGAGGAGTGTCGACGCAAGAACTGAGATGGAGGATGACTTTAAAGGAGAGATAAGAGTCGAGGACGGAGGTGAAGTACTCCTTTGCATTATCATTCTTGAGTGTCCGGATGGAGGTTTGGAATTGTGTTTGGATCATTTAGTAAAATTGTTCAAATATGTGACCGACTGCAGATTTATCTTTCATAAGAAATAGCCACGTTAGTCGAGTGTGATCATCAATAAAGAAGACAAAGCACCGAGTCCCGGAAAGGGTTGTAACACTGGATGAGCCCTAAATATCGTTGTGAATGAGTGCAAAGGGCCGGGAAGAGGTGTAACCAACACGTAGAAATGACGTGCGAGTGTGTTTGGCAAGTTGACAAAATTCACAATGAAAAGAACGAACATCTTTATTGTTAAATAAATTTGAAAATAGTTTTGCAAGATACATAAAATTTGGATGGCCGAGACGAAAATGACATAACATGATCTCAAAATCTTTATTGACACTAGAATTGAAGACAGAATGATGGTTAGACAAATGTCTGCAACGAGGTCGTGTTGGTGAAGTACCGTTGATGACCTAGAGACCCGAGCACATCTCAACATTGCCAATCGTCATCCCTGAGTCTGCATCTTGAAATTCACATATGATAGGAAAAAATTTAGCAATACACCTCAGATCACTAGTCAACTTTCACATAGATATTAAATTGTAATTTAAAGTAGGAACATGAAGCACACATCAGAATAGAATGTTTTGGGTGATGCGCACGGAGCCAAAGCCGGTGACTTTGGAGACAGAGCCATCGGCAACGCGGATGGTGGAGTTGTCTTCGCACGACATATAGTTATAAAGAAGGGAGGCAGCGCTAGTCATGTGATGAGAAGCGCCGGAAGCGATGATCCACTGACTGAGGGATCCTTGATTGAATGTGAAGGCATGGTAGAACGTACCTTGATGCTCGAGCAGGCT